TAGCCATGATCCAAATACTCGCGTCTTTATAAAATATGAGCTCATTTTCTTCCACTTTAAGAAGCTAATGAGAGGACGGGATGCAGGGGTGCATTCTAAAGCACAACACCGGAACGTATTTCCTCCGCACCCTTCTCAGCTTTTCAACCCCTGACCCATTTTCATGCCTGAAGCGCTGTGTTTGAGAAATACTTGCGGCCGGGCACTTCATATCGCGGGTCAAGAGTGGCTAAAAGCTGGTCGAAGCCAGGCTTTTCAACGGTAGTTATTGGCAGTATGTCCCTCGCTATGGAGCATGTCACTGCGTGGGTGATGTTCTTATGCCGCTTGGACGCTTTGTCGTATTTTGGCAAGAAACGAAGTCCACCTTCATCTGCTTCACTTGCTTTGTGCTGGTGCTGGCAGCGGTTCCAGAGGATTCCTCCGACGACGACGTGGAGCCGCGGCGCGGCCGACACAGCTCGTACTCCTGCGGGTGCGATCGGTTTAGATGGTAGAACAAGTTGGTTGTGTTACCAGACTAGGTTTTTACTAATTCTCTGCAAATTTTGCAAACGACCGCTGTTCGCTTTTTGTCAGACTTGTAAAAACCAAAACATTGCCATGCTGGTGAACTACTGAAACCCTTTTTTCGAGATAATTTCCTCCGCTTCTCCTTGCTGTATCATTTTTTCTAATACACGTGCTGTCTGTTGTGGTTTGATAGGGGCTGGGCTTGGTGCCGTAGCGTACCTGGGTCTGCGTTTGTGATTGGTTGGGAGGAAGTAATGACTGTAGTAAAAGCTACATGATAGGCTATGATGAAAAAGAAAGGGAAACTGTGTTTTTTTATCGAACTTTTTATCGACCCGTTTTTTTTCTATCGCGACACACGTCTATCGATCGATATATATTGTTATCGAATTATCGTCCAGCACTACTAACGGATATGTTTTCTGAGACACTTGTAAAAAGAAATTTTGCTGCGTCTGCGTTCAATAAAATAACAGGCTTTTAAAGATATTTCTTCTGCATCAGCAGCTGATGTAGTGGAGGATTACAGGCCAATATGGACTTCAGTTTCGTTGCCCTGAGCTGGGATGACAGATGACGCTCCCAACAGTCACACACACCACCGGCACTCATCTTCTCTCTCTCTATTTCACACACACACACACAATAACAACACACGTTGCTCTCTGATCTGTTCATTAGCGCAGCATCTCGTTAAGTCTCGGCGCTCAGTTAGCCAAAAGGAGGGCCTGTCCAGCGTCCACCGTCATGCCGACACAACGCTGCCAACCGGAACAAACCGGACTAGAACCGGGTGCGTGGGTGGTCTGTCACACACAGTCATGTAAGTGCTTGTCTGCCTGCAGTGCACTACAGACACACAGGAGTAGCAGAGAGCCATTAGATGCGCACACTGACAAACACAGACGCACATTTTAACAGGGAGACACAAGCTCATGACAACTGCCCCCCCTCCGCTGCATTATGCATGAACACCTACGGACAAGGCTCACGTGCATGAATACACACCAACAAACACAGACACACACATGGTACTGTGACAGATGGCTGACTCTTCTATAGAGTACCTTTATTTACTGTTTTTCAGGTAAAGCCCTGAGTCGTTATCCATGCTGGGTTAATTGCAGGTTTAACCGTTTGAGCGATGCTGTTCCACAAAGTTTGGCATTTCAGTTTGTCTGTAAGTGGCTGGTGGGAAACGGATGAGGCTGTTCCCCAAATTAGCTGCCTGCAAGTGGTAGACATTTACCAGGGGAGAAACACTGTCTCCTGTGTTTCCAGGTCCTGCTGCCTCACACTTAAACTAATTCATCCTGTAAACACAAAGACTGTCATGGATGCAGCAACGAGTCCCGTAATATTTATAGATTCGCTTAAAATTGGAATGCTTTGATTTCTCAAATATGCTGTTTTTTTCTTAAACCTTCCAGTGTCTTTTTAGCTGCTGGACCATCAGGACTAGAAGAAGTGTTATGGTAATGATAGTTCCTAATTCTCTGCATTCATACAATTTTAATGAAGAGATTTAGTAACACATTTAAATTTTGACCATACACAGGGCACAATATGAATTAGGAGGTTGTTTTTTTGAACCTGGGCACAGCTGTGCTGACGTACATCAACACCTGAGCTCCCTACCCTGAGTGTGACATCAGACAGGAATGGCCGCCATGTGACCACGGTGAGTAAATTCACTTAGCAACAGCAGCCTTACAGGAGACAAACTTTAATCAAAAGCTTGTAGCATCCTTCCTGATGGGGACCAACTCATCATTTATTCATGAACAAATGAGCGAAGGGATGAATTAATAAATAGTATATGAGTGAGTCACTTTCTGGATACATGTGGTGCCTGGCTGCCTGTGTTCAGCTATGTTTGAAACCCTCACAGCAGATTCATAGGAGCTCACTGAAGGACTTTGATATTTCACACTTAGACGAGATTGATTTAAACCAACCTGAAGTTGTCGAATGATACAATTAGCTTAACGTTATTGATCCCTTGTAGGGAATAGAGTCATTACCACTTAAGTGCTGATAAGGAGTTGAAGGTGCTTAAATGTATAATGGCACATGGCAATTCTTTGTCCAAATTTCCTTTAATATCAATACTCAACTGAAATACTGAATCCAACTTATCATGTATATTCATCACAGCTATTAACACTCAAAGGCATTTAAACTGCTGCAGGAGTCCCCTCCTTTTCACTTGAGCATACCTCAGATTGCTCTGCATAAATTCTGATTTAAAAACCATGTTTTTTTCACGTCTGAAAAATCAAGTGTCTCCAAGTGCAACAATCACATTAATGGGTATCCTGCAGTGAAACCGTATAAATAAAATGGATTTGCACAGAGAAAATGATGATAATCATCACCTTCCTTTGCAGAAACTAAGGGTAGCATTAGTTCTGGCAGGCAACCAAGTCGAATAAGACCTACAGGACATCAGCTGAATTCAACACCAGGGTATCCTATTAAAACGGCTCCAGTCTGCCTTCTTCTTCTCTTGCTGGTTCCCTTTAGGGACTTTGCTGCTGCTCTGCCTGCCACAGGCTTCCACAAAGTCAAATATAACCGTGTCATGTAAGTAATAACTCCTCTTGATCAAAGTGCTCCTGACTGAAATAGTGCTTTTGTTTTTGAAGCTTTTTGGCATGGAGAAATTAGTTGTATTAAATAAACCACATAAATATTTCCCTTTGAAGTAGAGATGTGAATGTTTGGTAAGAACTTTTTCAGTTTAATTCAACACTTTTCTTTTTTTGCATTGAACTGTCCTCAAGAGATGTTTCCTAACTTGGGCTCTTTGTGAGCAGCGTTACGAGGTCACAGCTCAGTATAACAGTGTTTTCACTCAGTGATATGTGGCTCCTTCCTCTCCAGACAAGTATATAACAGCACCATTATAAAACCACTTCAGCTCAAATCAGGCCGTTTAACACACGCCCGGCCCCCAGCACTTCAGCCAGCCTAGCTGCACCGTGACGCCCTTTCATTACACACAGAAGCAATGTGTATGTATGTGTGCGTCTCCTTATTGGTGTGTCCATGTGTCAGAGAAATGGAAAGTGTGTATATGTGTGCGTCGTGCAGCTCTCATGTGTGCTTGAACTGTGATAATAGGGGTCCATTAAGAGGCAGACAGGGGGGTAGCCTGAGCAACGTTTCTTCATTAAAGCCTAATGGACATTAAACAGTTATCTCCAACACACACATACACACACCACAGCAAATAAAGAAATGCTTTTGATAAGGTCGCTTTTCATCCAAGAGAAAATTAATGATCATCTGAACCGTCTCAGGAAGATTAATCGATCCTCACTGACTCATTGCTTGTGTGTATGTGAGACAAACAATGCCAGCTTTGATTCAGACAACAATACATCAGCGATATAGAAGACAGCTCGATGGCTTATAGGCTTAATTACACCAAAGAAGAGAAGTCGAGTTCCTGATTTACATCTGATCCAACATTCACTTAACTGCTTTTGGAGCACAGACCGAGAAAACAAACAACAAGTGGAGGCACCTTGACTTCACCCATCACTCCATCATTATCTCATCTTTTTGGAACTACAGACAATCATATTTTAATATTTTAATAAGGACAACTTTGTATTTTTTGATACAGCTAGGTCCTCTGCATGAAAGTCGTAAGAGAGACCTCCTGACAGATGCAGGAGGTCAGAGAGACTTAACATGTGACTCCAAAACAGTTGAACATGCATGTTTATTAAATACCATACAAATGCCTGAGAATGACATAAAGAAATAGTCTTCATTTAAAAAATTAGCTCCTTTATCAACCTTGATGTGAGGATGAACTTTTTCCTAATGGGTGTGTATGTGGTTTCTGCTGCTTCCAATGCCAGCCTCTGCTGGACACTGAAGGAACTGCAGTTTGAGCACTTTCAGTTTGAGCTCTAAGTTTGCCTCCAGGTCAGAACTGAACCAAAAAATGTGACTAACAAAAACAAGATACATACTAAAACCCAGATTGACTTTATTGTTGCATTAGTGGATAATTATTAGTGTATTAAGAATTTTCTAATCCATTTTTGTGGGAAGAGGTGACCAACGCATGTGCCTGCCCTGATTAAAATAGAATAGTCTCTATTTTGATTCAGTCTGATTATTATCCAGTGTGTGTGAGGTAAACGTTTACACTAGGGGTTAAAAGCAGCATCTGTATCTGTGGATAAAGCAAATATTATACACATTGACATGTTATTACTTGATACCCTGGTACACTCTCCTCAGCTGACTCACACTGCAGCTGCACAGTGTCCCAGTTCTCATTGTTTTCTTTTCGCTAAAATGCAGCGAAAAAACGGCTCTTGCGGCTGCTGCATTCGTTTGCACAATGGATTCATATTACTTACATTGCTCTTGCATAATTCATCAGACTATAGCAGAATAAGAGAAATAGCAAAGCTGACATGTATGGACTCAGGTTCATGCGTTCAATCAAGCAACAAAGCGAGCATGACTTCTCCTCATGTCAGTTTGTGAGTTCACTGTCAGTTCAATTTGGTGCCGGTTTCAGCCTCCAACTGATCTGAAGTCACCCAAAAAAATCAGATATGAGCAGCATGAATGCGAGGTCAACAAGCCCGTCTTATTTTTTCTTCTACCCCTCTCTCTTTCTGTCTGTCTGCTTCTCCATCTCTCTCAGGCACGTGCTGCTTCCCTCCATGAGCACTTCAGCAGCGACTGTTTCAAAGTAAGGCCGAGTTCAGCAGCAGCTTTGAAAGCACAGTGCGGATTTAACATCTCCCCTCAGGTGATAAATATCTCATGCCGTTTTAGCTACTGCCAAAGCTTTTTCAATAGACTTTTAAATATTAGACTCACACCTGCACATAAGGTCGCTCTATACTCAGCGAAGACGGATTAAAAAGATGGAGAGCTCCCATTATCATTCAGAGCTCCCCCTTCTGGCTGGCAGCACATTTCAACAAAGTTACAGGCATAAAACACATAACCAGTCAAAGCATCGAACCCTAATGCATCTTCTTGCGATAGCTTCAATTTACCGTTAAAAACATTGAAAGAGACTTACTCTCCCAGACCAAAATTTATTCCCAGTATTGGGAATAGAAAGTAAAAAAGAGTCCTCTGACTGGGTCACAGAGCAAAGACTGTAGCTTCTAGCATATTCCACATTTATGTAATATATTTATTTACATATATTCGAAGAAAGCAAAAATGTGACCGTGATTGAAATGAGTACAAATAGGAAAATTTAGAATAATTAGCAAAACTGCTCACCTGTCCTGTCTGTGAAGCTGTATGAAATGGATTTATACCTGACTTTAACATTTGGAATCACAATATTTACTTTGGATTTTTTTGATTTCTTTTTAAGATTGCTGGACGGACATTCAAAATGCCTTTGTAGCAATTTGACTTTTACTCAAGAAAATATTTTATAATAAACCAAAAATTTACAGATACCGAAATTTACGACAATATCCGACGTCATTTTGCCCATATCGGTATATTCGGTGTCAAAAATAATTAAAAAAATAAAAGTTGGTTTTGGATGTGTGTAGATAGGCTATGGTCTCATGACTCCATGTGACCCCACCCCATCTAGTCTGTAACAAAGAGGGAGAGACAGGTGAGGAGATGGAGGACGGTTCAAAAGTTGTAGCGGCTGAAGTAGACGAAGTTAATGTGGGAGGGGGGTAAGCAGCTTGTGGAGTAGTTATTGTCCATTTATCGTTATCGACGTGAACTGCTCAATATATCATGATATTGACTTGCGGCCATATTGCCCAGCCCTACCAGAAGTCATTCAAAATGAAACAATATTAACATCCAAGAGATTAAAACACTTATTTGAACATACTTATGAACACTGTATTCTATTTCTGTGCAACTAAATTCTACACAATGTTCCTTTAAATTTGAAGCCCCATCCGAACGTCTGCTTCAAACAAACTTAAGCTGTGATGCTGAAGGTTTTTTGTCCCTACATGAAAAGCTTTGATGTGGTTTTAAAGTAGAGGGTTGGGATGTCGATGCCAACTGATCCCTCTGAATCTGGCTTCAAATCTACAGTAGGTCAGCCCCATCATGGAGGAAAGTAAGTTGGCCTTATATTTGTACAGCAGTGGGAAATGAGGGTGCAATGTCCACCTTTATATCAGTCAATGACACACACACACACTGAAATTTACACACTGCCTTAAATTACCCTGTTTCCCCTCCCCCCTCTCTCTCTGTGTCACACCACACACTAAAAAAGTCATAAATAATATAGATATTGACTCAGCAATCAGATATGGGTGCACACACGCACACACAAACATATACACGTACAAACACTCAGAGTAACACACCAGCCCCCTCCCCAATGCTCCGATGTGCAGCACTGCTGTTCTGTTGCCTAGTAACCAGGTAGAGTTTCTAGCTAGAGCCTATTCGCTGAAAGAATCCCACTGTCCTAGACTTCTCTCTCTACCTCACTCTAACCCACTCTCACATTAACACACAAACACACACATGCAAACTCGCACAAGGGCTGAAATTGCAACACACGCCTGTTTGAAGTTGCTTTGCACATGCACTTTCATTTCAGCTTGCACTTTTCCTCACCATCAGCCGTCAATCAGTACTCTGCTGTAAAACTGGGTTGCTATAACTCTTTTCTCCCAGAGCACTTATCTGCACACCTATGCACTCTCTCTCTTCCACACACACACACACACACACTCTCTTACTCCGCTGCATATAGGCCCATTTTGTAGACAAAGCAGAGACACGTGCTGCAGAGCAGAGAGAGGAAGAGAACCAGAGAGAAGAGGCTGCAGTTTTTCTGGTCCCTACAGAGATGCAGTTAAGTATCAGGCTCTGTCCATTATACTCTGCTGCTGTAAAAGCATATCCTGGTCTACACGCAGAGCATACAAAAACACACTTGCACAAAAATGGTAGACCTAACAAGTGTGGAGCTGCTTATTTGAAACAAGAGGAAGGGTCAAAACCATCAGGGCCACTTTAACTCTTTACATAAAGCTGAAAAATAGAACACCTCTCTAATCTAGAAGTGTAAAGATGTGCCTGTCAAGTCACTCCAATTACAATCACAGAGACCTTCAGCTGTATCCTGACCAAGATACAACAGTACCTCTGCTTGTAGGGGGGAACTTTTAGGTGTCTACAAGGGTTAGCCATATTTGAACTTCATGATGTATTTATATTTCAGTAATATGAGATTTTTGGAAAAGTACCGCACTTAGTTTTTTCCGCAATTTCCTAAATTAGCATCTGGCTAGCAGGCTAGGCTATTAACTTGTATGCCGACCATGGCTTGGAGAGATCTGAGCGTCTGTCTTTAATGTATATATTTACTGACACAATACTGTTTTGTAGCATCTCTTGCAGACAGGTAAGCTGATAAGGCAGTTGGTTTATCCTCTGTCGGTAAAAGAGTCCCACAGGAAACTCCAATAGCCAAACAGGATATGGAAGTTTAAAGAAATGACTCACTACTGTAGGAGGGATTGGACATGTTGAGGAAGAAGCAGTGCTTTTCTCTCTTAATTTAGTTTTGACATTCTCTAATTCTTTTCTTGCTGATACTGCTAGCTTGTGGAGATGCAGGGAATTATATTTTATCTTCTCAGTGCAGAAAATGCTGCTTTCTCAGACGACAATTTAACCTACTTCAGGTGCTGAATGTCAGGAGAATTTTTCATTATTTACCATTTGGATTAAACCTAACCAAAAAATACCAGAAATGTTGGTGAATCTTTGCGACACTACCCCAGAGTACTTCCTGTTCATATGTTTCCGGTGAGTATTAGTTTTACTGTGAATAAGTCACACAGAGGCCTTCCTTTGGCTCACTCCAGCCGTATAAACCCCAATGAGTAACCAATTATTGTGTGATTTAGAGTCAAAATATGGCTCTTAAAAAACAGCATCTATATTAAGAAATGTAAACTGCAGGGTTATCAGTGCCAACATAATGAAGACATTGCATTTCAAGACCTGAAATACTCCACAGGTGTGCTTTTGAATGACACAATAGCTGACTTTTGATTGCTCGGATTGATTGTTTCTGTTGGGAATTAGGAAGCTTGAACACTGATCGGCATTCACGACAAAAGATCAGTCAGACTATCACTCACAAGTTGAACTGATTGATCTTTGGCTCAAATGCCATTATGGTGGATTTTGTTTCCTAATTTTGCTCACAATGCAAACTGTTTCTCCTGTTTTCCCTGTATACTACAAAGCATGCCAAAATGTTAGTGGTTACTACTCTGATTTACAGTAAAATCAGAACACTGTGTCACTCTGGATACTGAAATCCAGACCCCCGCCTACGGGTTCGATAATAATGTATAAAATCTGTAAACAGAGATATCTCCACTAAATATGTTTCCTCTCTGAAGTGCATCAAGATGACATTATATACTGCAGAATACATAAGCATCAAGACAAGGAGCTGTTCTTTGTAGAGAGAAACCTTATCTGCAACAAAGTTAGACATACATGCTGAAACATTGCAGTGATATGATCACTATCTCTCTTTCTTTCCCTCACATGCTGTACTGTGCCGGCTGCATTGCCATGACAACCTAGTGCAAGATGCTGATGGGTTTCCCAGATCTTTTATTTATTCATCCATCTCTGCATTACTCTTTCATATTACAACACGCACAGATGTGCACTCTTTGCATGTATGTGCACCCATGCATGCACTCTTGCACGTCTTTATTTGAGAGCCAGATTTAACATGTGAAGACTTTGTGTGTTTAAGAATCTACCTGCAGAGAATAATTCCTACTCGCGCAGGTTGATGCAAGTGTTTGTTGTTGCCTCAGAGACATTTGTATGAAATGCTTTATGTGTGTGTGTACGTGTAAGAGTTTTTCGTCATTCCAGCCATCGTTTAGACGCTAATGTGATCAGCAGAAGCATGAGGACTCCTGTGTTGTTCATGCAGAGCTTGACTGAAGGGGAACAGCGCAGAACAGCAGGGAATACACAAACGCAGCTCAAACACACAGAAAACAACAACAAAAAAAAGCTCATTAGGGGTAGCAACGCAGCTGCTAAACAGCAAACACAACACAAGCACTATGACCTAAAAACATATCTGAATACTAAATGCTCTTGCAAGGAGATGGAGCTCCTGGAGACAGGGAGGGTCCACTGACAAGCTCATCCCTGGCATGATGCATTGTCCCTGGGGAGCGCTGGACTGCTGACCCTGCCTTCCCCTGCTCCAAGAAAGAAATGCATTATCGCCTTTTTGGGGTTATTTCGCACATTTTAAGGATCCTACATGGTGAGTGTGAGTGAGCGTGGGTGTTGAGAGAGGCACTTTAAGATAGTGTAATTATACCTGGCGGCTCTCTGTCTATATGTCTGGGTAAATCCACTTTCTTTGAACTCCTCTCCCCCCCTACAGCTCGACCTTTTGACCGCCGAACATCACGCACCAACACACAGTCGTGCCTGTAAATCAATACAGCCTTGAAGCCGTTGATGAGATATAGAGAAGGGTGATGGGAAAGAAAGACATATTTTTCCAGCAAGCATTTTCATTATCAAGACGAGATCCCCTGGTCTAGCTTTGTAAATGCATTTTTCATACTGCAGTAGGCATACGTGATCCCTGGCTGCAAGAAGGATCACTGCTGCAGGTCATTCTTATAACTGCAGTCAGTCTTTCACATCAGCATACCAATATTTCACCGTAATCATCATCAATAACTCAATGCTTGGCAGCTATTTTACACAGTGTCTCTTAGGCCATACATCATTCATACATACTTAAATTACTGCATATTTTAAAACATACATATTGCATCAGTGGTAGGCCTGAGCGATATGGCAAAAAAAAAAACTAAGATGATATATTTTGTCATATTGTCTGATCTCAATTATTATCACGATTTTTAATAAATAATTTTTAAACCGCCAGTTTTAATGCATCTATTATTAAAACTGAAAAAAAAACTAGAGATTAGTTCAAACTTTTTTTATCATACAAAGTAAATAAAGCAAATTTAAAAAAAAAAATAGAAAATTATAAAAAATGTTTACTCAACAATACAACAAATCTTGCTAAATATTAAATCATAAAGTGACCCACTTAACAGTCCTGAGTGTTTCGCAGGTATGCAAGACTCAGGAATAATAAAGATGCCATAAAATGTAAACATTAGATGATGTAAACATTAGATGATACGATTAGACGCCTCAAAGCCTGACGCTGCCTACTGGAGCTCAAGTAATCTGCGTCGGGTTTTTCAACATTAGAGTGCAAAAATACGGGGATAGTTGCTCATTCTCCATTGACCCCATTTGGCTCTTGAGCAAGTCTGGAGTGGGGAGACCCATCCAATATGGCGGCGACTCTGTATTACGCCCCAGCACGTAATGAGGCGTCTATGTGTATAATGTCTACGGCTGCACCACTCGTTGTGGCTAAACTGCTAATGCTACTTGTGCCGTTAGCAGCATCAGCAGTGACAGGCTGTGCAGACTCCACTCGCATATGCTTTCCGCATAATCACTTGGGAAGTACTTCTTAAATGATTAAACAGATCTGGTGTGCTGCCTTTTTTTTAAGGCACCGCCCGCTGGCATACCTTACACATTGGTTTCATTACTCGATGTCACTTTGGAGATACCCGAACCACCGCTACACAATAAATAACTTTTGAATAAGTTTTCTTCTCAACAACGGCATCTTTGAAGGATCACTCAAAGTCAAAGCTGACATCTATTTTGCTGCCCTCAGCGCAGCGTTTAGCTCCACGTTCATTCATTCTGCTGACTTCTCCAGTTTTTAAATTTTATTATTTTACACATCACAGCAGACTTAGTATTAAACACCAGCCAGAAACTGTCACAGAATTTCAAATGCTATCATTTGGGATGGAAAAAAAAAAAAAAAACATTATTGAAGTGGATCTACATTTTATCACAGGCTTACAGACCTTTCAGTCTTTTCAAGCTTTTATACAACGCCAAGACTCTGGGCTGGTATTTCATTATGATTCAGAACAATGTCTCACACTTCTATCCACTTCTATCCCACTTCCACCCCTGTTAGCGCCTGTACATGCTTGTGATACACTCTCTCTTTTGTTGTACTCATTCTGTCCCTTGGCTTTTCAGACACACTAACCCGCCTCCTCTTGTTCCTCTCCCTGCTCTCTTTGACCATCTGAGAGAATGTACTGCTGTTGCTTAGCTTATCAGCTTAATGCAGTTTCTGCGTGTGTGTTTGAAACAAAACCAATCTATCTACTAATGAGTGAAAGATGCACATCGTGGGCCTGGAGATATATTATTACTCTCATCATCATTATCAATTTCAATTGAAGTTGAAGTAGCCTTGGGCTTTTCTTAATTTGGGGACGATTGGAGATAAATCCAATCTCATACTGTCTTATCTTAGTAGATTAACATAAAAATGATGCTAAAGAAGAGGAAAAGTGCTCCACAGCTGTGTTGGTGCATTATCTGCACATACTGAAGCAGCAGGAAAAGACAAAGAGATGAGGGGAGAAACAAAGAGAGAGTGCATGTTACTGAGCTGCAGTTTTTTTTGATGGGAGATAGACAAGACAAAGAGACAGATAGAGGGAGAGATAACTAAGGTTAAGGAGGAGGGGGCTGGTTGTGTCTAAAAGACTGGAAAAGCTGCTGCATTTTCACTGCAGCAAGCATCAACACGCGGGTAAAGATAATAGAAAAACACAATAGAGGCGGATGGAGCGGAGAGGTGCATTCCCCTCGCTCACACTTTCGATCGGCCAAACACCGTGCCCAATTCTGAGATGAGATAAGCGTGGTGAGGTACACACAGGATAGATTAGATGAAATGATCAATTTGAGGTCTCTTTACACTGTGTCCTTTTACACTGTTGGCTCTCTTCTGTTGGACATTATCCCTTCTTTTTTTCACCTTAATCCCCTCCTCTCTTTTCGGCTTGTTCTTGACTTTTAGTCCCACTGTTGTTTCAACTTCCTGCTCTACTGCCTCCTGTCTCTTCTCTCTACTCCCTGCCTTCTGTTTTCCTCATTTTCCTTCTCTATTCATCTTTTTTTTCTCCTCCCGTCTAAATTCCTTGTTTTATCCGTCTTATGTTGTCTGCCTTTTGTCAGTTTTGCCTGACACCCACCACCTGCTTCACTCTTACTCACTTTCCTCCTTGGAAAGAAAAAAAAACACACGCTTATTCATTCCCGTCTGAATTCAATGTGAATTTTAAAGCAGAGAAAAAAACAAGATCACGTTTTCTGTGATGAGAGTGACAAAGCAGGTTTCCGATGGTGGGTTGAATCCTGAAAAGCAGAATACACTTACACTACAATGATACGTCACCATAGCAACAGCTGCCAAAAAAATCCCGCCTTTGGTTTAGGAGGACCAATCAGAGCGGCGCTACTACTACAGGGAACTTGACAGACAGCCCTCTGAGACATACCAAGCAAGACAGAGCAGATAATACTCACTTCTTTTACTCAGGCACCGCTAGAGGACATTTAGACATTTATGTTTTGTATTTTTGATATTTGCCTGCACTAGAAATACATCCATATTCTATGAAATCTAATGAATTTATAATGTTATATTTTATTTTGCTGACTTTGTGGGGCATTTCACGGCTTATAACTTTGAAATCTGATCCACAATAAAAAGCTTTTCTTGCAGGAGAAAAAAAAGAAGCATGAAACTAGTGTCCTTGGATAATACTCTGAGCCTCAGGATCACTAGTGCGATGGGCTGTTGGGAACGTTGCATGGCAGCCTCTTCTACCACTGTGTGAATGTACAGAATGTGTGAAGGGGTGAGTGTGATATGAAGTGAAAGAACACTTTGAGTGGTCAGCGGACTAGAAAAGTGTTAGATAGTGAAGTCCATTACCCATTTGCTTGACAAAAGACCTAATATAGCAAAGATGGTGAACCACTTATTGTGGCAGTAGTAGCAAAAAAATAAAAGAAAAAATGAAAACAACACAGAGGCACAAAAACAAGCATACATAAAAAGCTCATAAATGAAAACAAAAATATAAGAGGATAGAACAGTGGGAAAAGTTGCATTCATTCAGCAGCGGCGCACTGTTCTATATAGTGAGTAGCATCAATAGCAGTAGCATTAATATCAGAGTACCACCAACGATTTTTACCCGTACTGTGTGAGCAACACATGACGTTATTTTTGACTTGTTTTGAGTCATCAACAACGCATCGGACCCTTCTCCATTGATGTAAAGGGTAATGTTCAAGATTATATACACGGTCAATATAGCTAGTAGCGTGGGTAATGTAACATGAGTGTAACGGCATAGCTTCTTGAGAGGCGAGAGAGTGGAGGTAACAGCGAAAATCCCCTTCAGACACAGACGCACCGCTGCTGGAAAAAATCCTAGGGGAAACACTAAGTTAGAAAGTGGAAGAGAAAGTTGGGAATGACATGAAGTGAAGGGTCGCAGGTTGGAAAAAGAGCCGTCAACTGCGAGTGATAAGAAATGCTTCTGTCTCAGCATGTCCACTACTGATTACAACAGCGAGTCATCACTTCAAAGAAAAAAATCAACATGTAAACAGTCTGATACAAAAATTTATTAAAGCAGACTGTATCAGGAGGTAACCACTTAATGCATGACCATGCCTTTACCTCTTCATAACGTTTATTCTTTCTTCACAGGGTTGTCCCATTGTCTTCAAAATAACTCCCCAAATTCTTAAAATTGAAAATTTTCAACTTTGTTACATTTGGGAATTACATCAACATTGAAAAATTTGACCTATGAAAACATTTTTTTTTTCATCCAAAGCCAGTGTTGCCATGTCCACTGTAGTATAAAACTGGCAAGCAAAGGCTTTTTGAAGACCAGATTGTTTTATCCTCTAAAATCTGCCAGTCTCTCAAAGCAGGTGGATTTTAAAGAAAGTCACAACATTTTTAGAGCCAATACTGCACATGCAACAATACAAGTATACAACAATGTTGACCACGTTAATTACTAATCCCCAAATATGAGCTTATCTTATTATTTTTTTAGCTTAGATTTGTTTAAAGGGGAAATGGCCTTTAATCAATCAGTTTGATATCACACCAAGAAAATTGTTTATTTGTTTAATATTTCATTGCCGCATTATTAGCAACCAACAAACAGCAAATCAGGAATCCATCCTGCTCATTTTATTTAAATCCCAAGTTTCATTGAAAACAAATTATAAAAAAGGTCCCTAAAAATTGGGGTTACCTCTAAAAATGTTAAGTTATGACGCTGTTAACCAACTTCAGTTGCTGTTTTCATGCCATGGTGCAGCAGCTTAATTGTTTTAGTTCAGTCTTACTCATTCATTAAACTGATACTCTACTCTTGAAATACCTTTTGTTTGTGCCCCAGATGTGGCTTTCATGATTGTAAATTCATGGTTCTCCTTCATAGACACTTGCTTTTGTGATCTTGGGTGAAACTGCTTAACCAAACTTATTCTCAGCTCAGGTGTTGGGCTGTTTTGTTGCCAAGGGGTCCTGACCCTCCGTCCATGTGAAACAAATTGGGAATAGGAACACGCCGTCTAGAGAGGCTCATGGCTGGCAGGTGAAAAGAGGCGTCTGGCAGCACTATGCGTCACAGGGGTGTCACATGCTTGTCTGCAGTTCCCACCCGGGGGTCATCTTTGCCGTCAGCTGTGTCAGGGGCTGCAGTAAATAAAGCTAAATAATATGCAATAAAAGCCCGGGACAGGAATGACCTGTGCTATGGTTCAGACAATGGAGTGGTGTTCAAGAACTCAATACTCTGCTCCTTAAACAGATTAACCTTTTGACCCTAAACACCAGTAAACACCAGCTTCTCTCAGATTGACCTTTGACACAACCGACCCATCAGTTTGCTCTGATGATTCACACCCTGACTGGTTGGCAGCATGCTCTGTGAAACTCGCCAATGACAACACAGTGTCACCTGCGGTCAACCTGCCTTTGCATTTCTTCTCTTCTCACAAAAAAATCTCATCTGGCTGATTATTGACACTCAAATTTATCATTGATTGTGAATCCTTGTGAAAACTGAACTGACACCTACCCCTCTGCACCACTTTCAGACCACATCATACCTTAAGGTTCTACCCATTGTATATCACAGTGCTAAATGGACCAATTCTGGCTAATATAAACCGTCCAATCACAGCGCTCCTGCACAAAACGCTGGTGGGTTCCACAATTTCACGGCCATCAACTGCCCAGCAGCTCAGACACACACATACACACACTTCGATGTGCTCCATAGAGTGAGACACTCAAGGCCTGAGGTATGAGAGGGTCACTGCCTTAATGCACAGTGTCTGTGTGAACGCACACAAATACACATGCACTGTTTAGTATACTCATACACTGCACGCTTACACACATAAAAGTCAGCGCTATTAGTTCCAGATCATTTTGCCAAGCACTCTGTAAACAGTGAGCCGGGGGATAAACAGAGATCCTACTGTACTGGAAGTAATCCCAGGACACACACACCTTAACACCCTGTGCACACATGTGGCTGGTTGACCACACACACTCACACACAAACACACACACAAAAATAACAAACAGGCCTGCATGGGCACAAAACATTAAATAATACCCGGAAGGCAAACAAATAAAAGTACATTGAAATGCAATTTGTTGCAACATATTACCTTATTAAAATAATGATGCGCTCTCAGGCCTGAGTATCATTGGGGTTTTGTTCTGCTCCTGCACCAAAACACTGCTTTATTAATCAGAATCATCGAGCATTATAGAAATCATCTTTAACACAGACCCACTATACGGGATGATTTCAACTTTAAATCAAACTGTTGAATCAATAGTTTCTCTACCTGACACCACTGAATGGCATAAAATTACAAACTGCCTATTTAATTTCCAATCATCTAGGAGCTTTTATTTTGAAGGAAGCATAATTCAAAGTGCTGTCCCCTGTTTTGACTTTAGTATGATGCTATATATATATATTTGGTCTGACCTGTTCAAATGTGGGATTTTTAACAGCAAAAGTAATGCTGGGGACACTTGATTACATCATATCTTATCAATCTGCGACAATGCGTTTTGACACATTTCGTTCCTACCCGTTGACACTGTGGCAGAAACATTAGTTTCATTACTACCTGCTACTCATGTTGTTGCAACAAGCTGATCCAGGTTTCTGACGTCCATTTAAGTGCATGTTTTGTGTTAACTGTTGTCGCCATGGCATCCTTCTTCAGTTAGCTTGCTTCCTCCATTATCCATCAGTTTGTTTCTGATGGCTGATAATCAGAAGGAAGTGCTTGGCTGTCCCTAAGGCTCACTCCAGTCCACACAACAGGGTTTCTGATCATAAATACCGAACATGTTTAACATTTCTACTTTTATTCTGGTGGGTGTTAATGTTTTAATATAGAAGGTGTTTATTCTTAACATTAGCAAATATAGGGGATTCTGCATTTCCGATAAATGCTGTAATATTTACAAATGTTACTGCCTTCTCTGATGCCTCGCAGTGTAACTACCTCGAAGTTTTCTCCTTTTTGTTACAAAAGAAAGAGCGGACTCAGACTCTCTGCACATAAACTCTAAATATAAATAGAGACTCCACACACACACACACACACGCTGCGAGGACTGTGTGCAGGGTGTGCCAGATTTGAATACGTCAGAGAGGCAGGATCCCTTTTTCTCTGCAGTCATATCCACCTCATGACCCTCAATCTGCTGTTATCATGAGCACCAGCCAGATATAACAAGCTACAAACACATACACACTAACACACACTGAGGCACTGCTCAGTATAAATACAGAGAAACCGAACTGGCAGAGAGGGAGTGATGCACACATACACAAACAGACACACACACACACACGCGCAAACCTCAGGATGTCTGTCTGAGTGGCAGCAGGGAAAGGACAACCTGCTGACATCAAGGTAAACTCTCTTTATCCTTAACACTGCAGCGGTGAAGACATATTAGCACCCCCACCCCAGGACCTGAACACACACACACACACACACTCTCTCTCTCCACAGAGAAAGGGGTTGACACCTTTGAAATGACATCACTGTTGGAGTTCGAGGAAGTGGACACTGTAAACTTTTGGAGACAGAGCTTTAAAAGCATCACTTCATCACTGCTGAACTGTAAGTGTTATTAAGTATGGATGGGAAAAACATGACTCACCATTGTATTATTATTCTCGTGATTTGTGCTACTGACATCAACTTTTTGGGTCCTGAATTATGCCCAACACTTGGACAGAGAGAACAGCAGAGATTCTGCACCAAAGCATAAGGATGTGGCTAAACAACCAGATCCATTACATACACAGTTTAGCATTTTTCAAAACCCGAAAATCAATTGTAGCGTTCACTTTGAATAAAGTCTCAAGTCGTGTTCATCAAATCAGTGGTGCGTTCACATTTACAGACTGTCCTCTAAAATCTTTGAACAGCGAACAGCTATTAAACTGAAAAAAGAGATGAAGTGAAATGCAATTTATCTTTCAAAATAACCAACCCAACATCCACGGCCAAAGACATCAGCATTGGGTGTCAAATCAAACCAAAGTACCTGTAGTAACTTTAACTGGTACTGGCTGATACCACTCCTTAGCTATAAATACAGACACTGCCGTGTTACTGTTTGTCACGATTGAAAAAATGGATAAATGAAGTTGGGTATCTGATTGTTGCTTAATGCCAATATCTGCAACCCAACTCACCTTAACCATTGCCAAATGCCTGATACACCTTGCCCCAACTGCTTGATATGTGAAACCTGTCACCTTACCAGTGGCCTGATAACGCTTATTTGTTATCTAATATCCAATACCCTGTACCCATTACCCCATACCCCTTACATGTTACCTTATACTGATAACCCTTAATAGTTACCTGCTACCCAACACCCAACACCCCTTCCTTGACACCTGTGACCCAATAATGGTCATCCTATGTAACCCAATTTGTGATACCTGTTAATCATGACTGGTTACCCATTACCAAACCTATAATCTGGTACACCTTCCCTGATTATAGAGTACCCCCTTTTCCTTTACACAGTTCTCCCTGCTGGGTACCTAACACTCTCTACTTGTTACCTGATATCCACTTGGAACCCTTTCACTGACACCTGATACCTTAATTAAGTTTGGAGGCTGATAATTGTACAGATATAGCAAATATTGTTTCAGTATTACTAAGCAGATTGTCCCAGTCTCAATAAACCTCTCATCATCCTGAAGTAGACACTCTAACAGAGTACATCTTAGCGCCTTTCTGTGCTTGACCTTGAGAAACAAATTTCTTAGAAAGCTTTCCAATTTCCATAAAACTGGATGACAGTTACAATCACATGGCTTCGAGAAATCCCCTGAATTTATGTAGTTTTATCCACGTAATTTCCCCTGATCCACTTCAGTTCAAAAACAAAGTCCCCTCACTGTCATGACTGTCTTCAACTGCGTCTGATCATAGACAGCACAACAGGTTGACGGGAGCTCTGTGTTTGATTTGTGTCTGTTTGTGTGCAGCATCATCTGTATTAAATTATGAAGTAAGCAGAAGAGGCCCTCTCACACGTTTGTGGTCTAATAGAGACAGATAGCATGACAAATCCATTCGTTTGTAATAGATTAACCTTGTCTGAGGCCAAAATCTGATCTAATCAGCCTGTAACTCTATCACACTGTTCAAACATTGAGTCTTACGGCCGTGTCACAGGAGGTGCCAAAATGAAGTGCTTGTTATAATCGAGTGGACGGAGGTCTTTTTGAGTTATTTCTTAAGGATCACAGCCAAGAGTTTAGCATGTGCTACCAATCACTTCACAGGCAGAGGGGTTTTTTTATGTTTCACAGGACTAAACAAACAAAAATCCAAACCAAATTTGAAAGTATTCACATTTAAGGGGTTTAGGCATCAAAAAAATTGATTACAAGACTGAAAACACAGACCAAAACTTCTGACTAACAACGGCCTTCAAATGGCCTTCAGATGACCAAAACTTGAAAGGAAAAGGTAACTTTCAAAAAACAAGTGTTTTTAATTTTTGTAACACAGGTTTCTGATTTTTTGTGGTGTTTTTAATAGTGAGAAGAATGAATTTCTTAACTATGATTAAGAGACAAAACGCAGTA